TTTTTAATATAATTTATATTAAAGAAATTAAGCCTGAAAGTTGTGTTTGTTGCTCACATAAATAAGTCTCACAGAAAGGAGAAGGACTTCTTATGTTGATTAAGCATTTACAGGAATAGGTTGAAGAAGACAGATCTTATTTTTCCTTTTAAGTATACCACGTGGAACTAATTCAAAGGTGGCAAGTCTGGCAGGCACGAAAAATAAAGTTCTTCTATGGCAATAGATTTCCATTAACGGGAATGGACATTGTATCAGACTCCTAAGCAATAAGATTATTTTTAAAGTTGCACCTAAATGAAATGCATGTAATTCAACTCATTCATTACTGCAGTTAATATCACATTAAATAATGCAATAAATCTAATCAAAACATAAGCAGGTCAGTTCTTTCCTTCACTACAAGGATTTAAAATGTAAACACTTGCTCTGCTGCTGCCACAATTTAAGGAAATTTAAAGCCTGAATGTAAAGAGAACAAAAAAAAAAAAAAAAAAGTATTTTACCACCTACAGCTTGAAAACTCCAGTGGACAGGAGTGTTCATCCATAGGAAAGTTATGAAGCTGAAGATAACATTCAGCATTAATTGTCAGCCTAATTAGAAATGGAAAGAAAAAAAAAAAGAAAAAATATTATATTCAAGTATCCAGACACTTCAGACTAGATAGTAAAGAACATGCACAGAAATCAGTTTTGCCAATTAATGGATGTTATGCATAGCCAACTGTATCTTCAAAAACCATCCAGCATCACTGCCAAAGAACAAAAACTATCATCATATGCAACCTGAGGACCTGCATTATTTCAATTGGCATTTCAAGCCATTTCAAAAATTTCAATTGATTTGGGGGGGATCTCTCAGCTCTCTACCAGAAATAGGGGATAAAAGGGAGGGACTGAAGGTAAGGCAAGACTGGGAGTTTACAATAGCAAATAAAGCAAGTTTCTGTAGAACGCATTTGTCAAATCAAATTGCATTTGGCATCATTGTATCTGGTGGCTATACATACAAGACAGAAAGTGGGGACTACTCTGTACTCATGGACGCAGCTCTGGTGAAGACAGTAGCATGGATAGGAAAGAGCAGACGATATTTCTACTCATTTAATGTCTAAGGCATTCCAGTTATTCGGGCAACTAATATACATTTTAGAAGTAGTTTAAGACTCGTGATGGTATCAACTTAACCACTTACTGCTTTTGAAAATACTATCACAGATTTTCAAAGAGCTTCCAAGCAACCAGTGTAAAACCCAGTTCTGCTCACATTCATTAGGAAGCTACAGTAAGGGACTAAACTCCAAACTGCCTTCTTTGCATTTAAAATACCTCCTCCTTTGCCGGTAACACTGTGAAAAAAGTCAGAATATCTTCTAAAATCAACTTTGAAAATTAACATAATGCTTACACACTTTACTGTATGCCATAATTACATACTAGACAAAAAGGGATGGGGAAAGGAAGATTCTGCCACATGCTGCCAGAAAGCTCTGTATGTCTGTGCGCAAAGTAGTTATTCTACACAAAGTGTCACTAGGACCTTTGCAGAAATTTGTCCTGACCGAGACATAGTTTTATAAGGGAAAGTGTATTTCTTGCCATATACTGGGGGGGGGGAGGGGGATGACACACCCTCCCCCCACCCATTTCTAAGTAAAACACTTGATCCCTCTGAAGATACTCTTCAAAATTGCCAACTATGGTATACGCATTTATTGCCCTTGTTTTCTATTTTCAAGCTTTGGATAGTCAAACTCTTAAACAAAATAAACCGAGACTTTTATTAAAAGCAACACAACTAGATCACTAGATCTGGAATCTCTCATGGGTGTAATGGGCAGACCAAGGTCTACCTTCAGAGGAGACTCAGGAAGCCTGGCTAACAGAATCACCATGTCTGCTCCCTGAATTACCAAAAAAAATAGTGGGGGGCCCGTGAACCTGGAGCACTGTCAGATCCTATTATTGTTCCTTCAGTAACCAACATATGAACCTCTCAATGTTATCCCACCTTAGGTCAAATTCAGGCCATATCCTCACCTACACAGATGTTTGCATGTTGCAGTGCTGGGTGAATACCTGGTCTGCTGTTTTATTACTAGCTCATTGCACTTCATAGCTCATACTCTAGCACAATAATTCTAACCTATTGCTCCGGGAGATCTCACATAGTATTTTTGGTTACATTTGTTTCTTTCTTTGTGGTACTTAGACCCGGTTTAAAAGAAATTGCGCATTGAAACTGAACGAACAATGGAAGGGTAAAGTCCAAGTATGATTCTAGAATTGTTAGCTACAAAAAGAAAAAAAAAAATTTGCATGTCAACAGAAGAGGCTCTCTAGAGATTATTGTAAACACCAGCATAATAAACTGTCTATAAAGTGCTCTTCAGAGATATTGGTATGCTCTCAAATGAAGCATACTAAGAAAAAATTCAGTGAAGATAATTCTTTTAAAACATTCTAATTCTTCTTACTACTGACACAGAAGACTTTTTCAAATTGTTCATACAACACAACTAGCCTGCATATAAAAACAGCATAAATGACTGAAAAGAAAGTAATTAAAAGGTGCTACTCTTTGTTTAAAATAAACAAACAAGCTTTTAAGAGCAGAATCAGATTTATGGCATCCTCTGCAGGGACTGCTTCTTGATCAGTTCCTAATTTATTCCAAGATTTTTTAGGCATACTTAAAAAATAAAACTGAGATGACCCTAAAATGCCTTCTGTAGACTGCAGCCTTCCAAGAACTGTTTGAAAAGTGACTCAAAGATCAGTACAGACAGCCTAGATGGTAAGCTTAAAACCAGCCCAAGCATCCCCCATTTGCCAAGACAAATTATCACCAAAATGTTTGCTTACACCTAATTTGGATGAACAGATTTGTTGATTTTAATAGCTTGCAAGGGTAAATATGTTAAGAAATATATGCGGTACTGGGGCCTTAGCTTTAATCAAACTTCTTATGATTTTTAATATCTGAAGCATTTTATATTTTACTTACAGAATATAATTTGGTGGAAATCTGATACTGAACTATTTAGAACAGAAAGTCTGCAAAACAATTTATGACTAGATCTGCAATATGTTAGTGACAGACCACCAAGGTGCTACATACTATATAATAACTGTTTTTTCAATCTTCCCTGTACCTAAATGAGATTAAAATTTTCTATGCCCTTCAACTGTCTTTATCCAATTATCTAGGCAATATGTTTCAATACTATTAATTTCACATTTTTCATGATCAAATAATCTTTTTTTTTCTCCTTTAGTAAACTCCTTGCAAATTCCTGTGATCCATAACAAAAGCGATGCCAGGGATTTGATTCATATTCATTATTTTCATATTCCTGGTCATAACAGTTTTATGTTTTTTTTCTATCCAGTTAATAAAAACCCACCTTAGAGTGTATAATACTCTTCCATCACTCCAGATTCGAAGCAAACGATTTGGAGTTGTAATCCAGTGAGCATCAGATTTCCTTGAGTTCCGGAAGAAAGTGTCTGGAATCCAAATTTTTCCAACCATATTGCTATTAAGCATAAGCACCTTCATTGAGCTGTTAAATTTTAGACGACTGTCATACCAAGTCTGGGCAAAAATTATATCTATAGTGTATTCCTAAAAACAGAGAAACAACCATATCTATGTATACGTTTATCAAAGTCTGCAAGCCAAAAATTTTTAATTCATGTATAAATCCAAGGCCACTTCTATTCTCTTTTGTATTACCATAGCACACAGCAGCCTGTAACCCCAAACTGAGAAATTACAGGCTGATGAAAGACGCACACAGCCTTCTGTCCCTGCCTCCTCTCCCCTGACACACATTGATTAGTTAAGGAAGAGGAAACGTGATGGGAGCTTGCTATAACTTGGAGGTCCCCACACACTACAACCACCTCTGGGGGCCCTAGACAGAAATTTAAGGGCAACCTTAACACTTCAGAGCTAGATTATGTTTGTTGAGACAGAGATTCTACATCTCTTAAGAAGCAAACCAAATAAACTTCCTATATTTTCCCCCAAACTTTACAAAATGCAATTTAAGATCCTTCAAAAAATCTCTGATTTCGAAAAATTCATGAATACACGGAAAGTAAACATCACAGTTTGCAGAAATACCTATTAACATCTGCCTCACATATCTACCTACATACACACAAAAGTATACATAATCATAGTCAGGAAGGAAATTTCCCTAGAGCAATTCCACTTTACTTATTAAAGCCTCAAGAAAGCTCCTTTTGTGATAGAAAGTCAAATTTCTCAGTAGACTTATGGCCAGAAAAGAAAGGTGAAAAATAAAATAAATAAATAAATAAAAAGAAAATCCACAGACTTTTAATGAGACAATTCTTGACACAGTAAAACTTGAGGGAGATAAACTTTACAGATGCAATGTAATATTGTCTTTCAAATAATCCAGACAGTTGTTCCTGTACTCCAGACAAAGGAGCAAAGCAGCAGCCTCTTCTCTGTTGCATTCGTCACAGCTCCAGACCACGACTCTGCCCTTAAGGGCAACAGTCTCGCTACTTGATGGCAGCTGTGATCTTTCCTGCGTGGCTGAAGAGAGGAGACAGTGGTTCAAACTCTTGCTTGAGCCAAAGGGGCCACTGCTCATTTACTTGGTCAAAAAATGCACAGTGCAGACAGTCAATTCTGTTTTTCAATAAAACAAAAATGGAAGGCTTTGCTGGTTGGAGTGGGGATTTTTGTTCATTTTACTTTTAAATAATCACAGCAGCCAACTGTACAAGTTACAGACTCACCATTTATTTCTGCAACTGATACCACCCATTTCCCAGGAAAGTCTGTGAAACTTGGCACTTCATCACTGAGAAGTGCCAAGGCAGATATTCCAGGACTACCTAAATCTCTCTCAATTTTTCCACCTCTCCAGGTGGGAGAAGAACAGGTTCAGGAAATAGATAGGCAAGAGGGAGGCTTGCCCTTGCTCTGTAATGTATGGCAGATTAATTACCACCTGGTAACTCAGTGACTGTTAAAGGTTATGAATAACTAGTGTATAAGTAAAACAGCGGAGGGACAGAGGGAACAAAAGGACTAATAAAAAATGCATTTCAGAGATGACTTTGCTCTAAAGTCATTCCTTCCCCCTTCCATCAGGGAAGATTCTGCAGGTCAAAACAAGTCCTTGATTGTTTTATTTCTGTAAACAATGTTCAAGACATCTGTGAAAGCTCAGGGCCTGTTTAACCTTAAAATTCAGCTTTCTGTGTTCATCTACAGTGGTTACAACCAGAAAGGAAACTTGCCTTGCTGCAGTGTAAATGAGAGCCCAAGGCAGTGTACTCGAGAAGTGTTTTAATGGGCTTAAATGGAACAGAATGAGCAAAGATTTACCTTTGTTGCCTTTACAGTATAAACAGGAGAAAAAAAGAATTCAGCGAGTGAAATCAAGACACAATCAAATGTATGAAAAGAGCAGACTGTCTGAGTTTGAAGGTGCTACTCTAAGTAGCCACTTCACAGTAGCAATGCACTGTCTGAGAAAAAGAAATTTATCAAAGTGTCATTACAGTCAAATCCACCCAGAGCAAGAAAACTCAGGTTGTCATACAATACCAACAACTCTAATAAATTAAGATAAAAAAGAAAGAGGAGTTAACAGATTATTTTGAACACACAAAGCAAAGGAACAGACTTAGCAGATCCAGATGCTTGTATTCTCTTACATTTCAGTATTAAATGTGCAAGTCTTTATCATACTCATGTATTACAGGATTTGTTTACAGAACTTTTTGAAAAAAAAGAAAAAACAAAACTTTTGTTAAAATCCTTCATGATACATTTATAACTGTTTAGAATGAATCTAATACATAATAGTTTAATAGCATAAAATTAGTAACTACTTGTTTTCATGTATCTTGCTGAATGTATAACAAGAGATCCAATTGCTAGCCTTTTGTCACACACCTGCAGAGTGTGGTCCCCCATTTGTAAGCTGACACTTCAGCACCCAGACATCTCCCTCTCCCTCAGGAGTCAGCCAACCAAGGGCATAATCCTACTGTTCATCCCACCTGAAAGATGTGGACTTGCAGTGTGGCGGTGGGTGGCAGCAGCAGTTCACACCCCTCTTCAGCAGGGACCTAGAGTCAGTGGTCTCTGATTTCTCCCAAGAACACTTATTCCACTTCTGACATCTGCCTTGATAGAAACTACTACCTACTTCTTCAGCATATCTATTTGTCCTGTGCTTCCCTGAGACTTCTGTCTTTGAGGGTCCATAATACATCCTAAGGCTGCATATATTCTTCACACAATGCATCTCACACGGAATCACATTTTCACCCCATCATATCTATACTATCTTTCACTCAAGTGAACTTTAGCATAAAGTCCAAGCACATGAACATACTCACAGTGTAGAGGTGCAAGGCATGTGAAAATGGGACTCAAATGTATGTTAACCTCCTTTCTGAACACAAGTTTCCCTGCAGAAGAGGCCAGGTGGCATAGGTCCAAACAGATTCTAAGCAGCCACCAAGCACAGGCAAACATAGAGGATGATCAGACAAATAAGAGTCTGGCAGTATGCAGCTGTGACAGTACAGATATTTGAGAGTGATAACCTGCAAGGGAAACCATGCTAGGGGGATTATAAAGAAAGTTGGTTTCTTTCTGAAAATCTAGTTTTGAAATGGGCCTAAAATTTTCAGATTTTATGGATTCATACACTGAATCCCCTTAAATTTGCATCTCCTGAAAAATATTGCATATTTCCTTTTAAGGAGGGGAAATCTGTGTCCCTGAAATTTTTTGAAAATGAGATAGAAAAATCACTATACTGTCTTTTCTGGAAGTACTTTGTTTCTAAAATTAGATGAATAAAAGCCCTATCTTTGCTTAGATACCATATGAACAAGCACAAGAGCAGCTAGATTTATACAATACTCTTTTAGTGCAATAAATCTTTCTGAGCTACTACTTTGTTTTCCTTATTTTCTTAGAAAAAGTTAAAACTAACACTCTTATGACTACTTCTATTAGTCTTTCACAAAACTCACCATTCAATGCCACTGTGTAACCATAAAAATTGGTTTACTACTCTCTCTTTCAAATGAAACTAATGATAAAATAACCATGCAGAACAAAATGAAATCAATCTATGGCTGTGTTAGTCACAGCCATAGCAAAATGCATGCTTGTTCATATTTAGCCTCACAGGGTTCAATAACCGTGGCACACATTAGCTCATATTTGGCATTTGATTAGATCACTGAACTCTTTTTTGCACAGCTGGCATAAAGAGCCCACCTGCCTAATTATTCACAGATAACTGCAATCCTCCTCCATCTCTTTCCTCTCTAAAAGATCATAACAAACTCCAAAGGCTGGGAACACAGTGACTAATCAGAGATTACCATTAAAGGGCCAGGCAGCAAACAAACTGTGAATATTGACAAGCAGGTGTATAGTCTAAGAGAAAATCATTTAATAAACAAAAGCAATTACTTCAAATAAAGTAGGAATAGCTACTGTATGGGAATAAATGGAATCCTCAACATCAGTTTCATTGCCATGAACAGTTCAATTACAGTCAGACATGAAAATGGGCCAGTGGATTGGTTTATATATTGGAAAGCTGTGAAAGAAAAGGAGACAGATACTATCCTACATGGTTGTTTCTCAGTGCAAACTGCATCACACGAATGCCAACATAATATCAATAAGGATGGAAAAAAAAATCTCACAAAGCAGAAAAAAAAACATTTTTCTTGGCTATTTCATCTGGCAGTCTCACAACTGATTTGATATTCCACAGTGAAAGGTGTGGAGAAGTCAAGCAATGGGTAACTAAATTGTTGGCTGGATTATGTTAACTGCAACACATTTTGTTTGAGAACAGGAAAAAAGTAGCCTAGTTTTCTGGGGCGAAACACAAAAAGCAATGAAAAGTCTCAAAACCAAATTCAGAACTGAAAAATTGTGTTAGCGAACTACGGGCCTGCAATATAGTTAATTACCAATGAATTTCAGAGAAAAATGAATAAAAACGTACTCCTGACATTTCATCTTTGCTCAGAAACCCACCCCAGCTTTTCTCCCAGATTCAAAATTTCACCTGAAGGGCACCTGGAGTTTTCTGGAGTGCAACAAGCTAATTCAGAAATAATTTTCATAAGGAGCCCCTGTACTCAGTTCAGTTACCAAGTGTGACATGGCTTCATCTTATTCAGTTATCTGAGCTTCAAGATATTTTATGTTTCTTCATTCTATCCAGCTTTCTAATTCCTTAAACTGGAACTCAATGTGAGGGAGGCAGGGAATTTTTCTTAAAAAGAATGAAGAGGGGGAACCTAAAGCAAGCATTCTACCAACCTATATGTTTTGACATTAAGAGATGTGATTTAAGATCAAAGACTCAGTTTAGTATGCTGATTAAGAGGTTTAAACAGCAAAGAAAGTCATAGACAAAACTGGTAACCACATACTTTCGTAAGACGTAAGCACCAAATAAAGCATCAAGCATTAGCCAATCTATCTTCATCTTGCCAGTGTGCTGCCAGTAAACACTTGTAACCTTTACCTTTTCCCTCACCCAAATATCTCTGGACATCAATAAGGGGCTATTAAGTAATTTATTAAAA